GAGCCCAGTAAACGCTGCCTGCGCTGAGCAACGCTTTTGAGGGAGAGGGGGGAGAAATCGTTGGAGAATGGTGAGCACCAGGACACTTGGGCCCTATTCCTGCTTCTGTGAGGGTCAAAATGATGGAGCTGGCAGAGCTCTGGGATTTTATTCCTCTTTGGCAGCAGAAAGTGAGTGTCCAGAGCCCTGAGATCTTGTTCCCACCCTTCCCTCTCCCATTTCCCGCTGGGGTCAGGAGCTGCAGAGCCCTCGTCTTTGTAAAGGGTTTTGGGGATCATCCAGGGGCGGCTGCAAGGGCTGAAATTCCCAGCGGATCCTTTCTCTCCAGAGAGCAAGGGGACTCCCTGTTCCTCACCCGAGGGGGTCTCCAAGTGGTCATCAGGAAGGGAGGGAGAGGCTCACGTCTGGCTTCTCCCCACAGCAATACACGACTTGATTGACATGAGCTCTCCTGGCAGGGAGGCTGTCTCCACCGGCCCTCTGGAGGCTTCAGCCTTGTCCCCCGTGTCACCTCCATGTCCCCAACAGCAGCAGCTGATTGCAGGGGGCTCTTTAAGAGCTGCTTGCTGGAGAGCTGCCCCCTCCCTGCGGCTGGCATTACGTGCTGCGTTAATATTAGCAAAGAATCCATTCGGCCAACCCTCCCTTAAGCCCAAAAGCCGGGGCTGGAGCCAGGAGGTGTTTGGGTACCACGGAGCAGTTTGACATGACACTGGCCTGGGCACACGGGGGGATCCTCCCTGTGGGTGAAGCACACGGGGCAGTGTCACCTTCAGGATCCATCTTCTCTGGGTGCAGCCCGTCTTTCTCCCTCCCAGGGACGCAGGGCAGGACAGGCGGGTTAGCTCCCGCTCCTGGTACCCAAGGATCAGGGTAGGGAGACAGGGCAGAGCGCCTGGGAAAGCCCCGACTGAAAAGCCAAGCCTGGCCAGAGGCAGCAAGGAGGACTTGGAGTTGCTGGAGCCCTTGGGCAAGTGGGAAAGACCAGTCCTGCTTGACGCTGGGCACATGGACCCCGGGCTGGGGGAATCGGGAAGGACCGGGATGCTGTAGGGAGCAGGGTGGTAGGGGCAGTTGGAAGAAGTGACTGGCTTAAAAAAGGTTCCCAAGGTGGGGGCAGCTTAGGGAAGCGCCGCTTTCCTGGGTGAGGAGGAGGTGACTGCTCCAACCCCGGAGCTGGCCAGGAGCCCGCGCGTCCCCTGGCGCTGCTGCGGCCGCCCGAGACCCTGCTGACGCCTCCTCTCTTCCCGCTGCAGTGCTGGGCCGAGTGCTGGAGGTGACGGACCTGCCCGAGGGCATCACGCGGACAGAGGCCGACAAGCTCTTCACCCAGCTCGCCATGGCTGGTGCCAAAATCCAGTGGCTCAAAGAGACTCAGGGGCGCCGTGGAGACGGGGAGAACAGCGGGACTCCGGAGAACGGCAGGCACAGTGACCTTGC